ACGATACATATATATTGTATATATATATATATATATATATACAGGGTGTCTGGTAACGACCGCAAAATATTTCGTGCGTGTGTAGAACAGACTACACTGAGGCCGACCGGACGCTCTTATTCGGTTATATTTAAACGTTAATATCTCCTTATAATATAAAATTAACTATTGCTAACACCGCAAAATGGTACAGGACTTTTCGACTCAGTGTAGTCTGTTCTACCCACGAACGAAATATTTTGCGGTCGTTACCAGACACCCTGTATATATAATATATTACAAAGGTATCCGCCAATGTCCCCACGGTAACGTCTCCGTCGAGTCCGGTACGACGTACCGTTTATTGTCGTATGGATTCAGAACGATTTTCGATTCGGAAATCGTGTATACCTCGTGCAGTTTAGATCGTATACACGATTGACGGCGAGTCATTTCTATCTCTTCGTTCAAACAACGCGTGTAATCAACGAACGTTATCGTTCGCGCTACGACGTTGCTCTTTACACCTTTTGCTTTAGTGTCCTTTCCATCTACAGGCAAGGCGTACATCTTCACTCTGAGTTCAACGAATTCGGTCATTATCGTGCCGTTGTTTTCGTCCTTCATCAGACCCGGCACCTTCTTATTCGCGAGAGGCATACCGTACGCGTTGTTCGCCGGATAATCGCTCGTGTCGAACCTTACGATATCGCGTTTCATAGTTTCGTAAAGGTCTTCGCATTCGATGTGGTATATAAGACTGTCTGTGTCGGTGTACATGATCTTACATTTGTCTCGATACATCGTGGTGAAATTCGTACAAGCAAACTTTCGATAGGTCCAGGATACACATACCCACGTAAATCGGCTTGTCGAACTTCACCTCGAGTTTACGCAGTTCGATGGCGATCAAATTTTCTGCAAAGACGCTACGACTATGAAAATTCTGTTTCGCGATCATTGCCTCCGCGCCGTACCGTCCGTCCCATTTCGTTATCAATTTCACGTCAACGTGATTTCGGACGTTTTCCATAGTTTTGCCGAATACCGCGTTATTCATTAATTTATATAAATTTTTTTTGAAATCGTTTTTAGCGCGCGTTCTAAATTGCGTATTCAGTTCGATGTAATCACGGAGCCAGGCGAATTGAGTGAATTGCAACACCCTATGTATCTTCGTTACGCGAAGGCCGTGATGAGTACATTGCTGCAGGTTGCGATTGTGGATGACGTAACGCTGCTTATTGTACAGCGTCGCGAGAAGTTTATCCTCGCGCTTGCCGGGTGGCTTATCGCGCGTCGGACAGAACGGTAAGTCAGTGTCGATCGTGTAGATGTTGCGGATACTCGAGATCGACCTTGAGAATGTAACCGGTGGGAGAATCCGAAGCGATCGCGCTCACGTCGAAATTGGCAGCGTCTTCGACCCATTGAAAGTCGGCGTATGGCAATGGTTGACACATCGCCCATCCATATAGATTGTTAACATCGTAGTACATTAAGTATGACGACGGTTTCGATGGGTCGTATGAACGCATATACTTGTTATTGGCCTGCGCGTATCTATCGGAACATTGGCTGAGGCCGCCGTGTATACCGCGCTCAATATGTCGGTGAGAAGTTCAAATTTTACATGCGTGTGATTTAGCATGGCATCCCATGTGAAACCAGGCAATGTATAGTAATGTACAGGATCAAGACCATTTCGCGGAAATTTTCGAAAATATCAGCCAACAACAAGATATCGGTTTTCAAGTATAGATCGCTGTACTCGCCGAGCGTTCGCACAGAGAATCGCTGCCAGACGTTCGCAGCGTGAGCGTAATCGCTCTCGGATACGGTATCGCCCGTCAACGAACTATAAAATGATTCGCGAGGTGGTAAGCGCGTGTCATCCAATTTTTCAACGCAGTCAACGTACTCGTACGGAAATACACCTTTTCGCGTTAGTAATTCGAATTCTTCGTTGGATAAAGTTGAAAATTCGGAACGTACAATTTTTAATTTTTCTTTCTTGAGATACGACGCCAATTTGTCGAGACTTGCACTGAGAAACTTGTACGAGTCTATGAATCGCAATTTTACACAATTTTTATTAAAATTCTTTTCATTTTTTTCTTTTGTACTGTCAACGTGTTCCGTAAACGATATGTATTTTTATTTGGTTATTGGAAGTACATCTACGTGTCCTTCATACGCGGTAGCGATTTCTTTTATAATAAAGTGTGCGTTGTATCCTTATAAATTATGAAACACAACAGGAATATAGAATGAATCTTTGTAATTCAAATTACAATTCGCATGCGCGGGGTCCCTGTATCGTCCAGTGAGGTGATAATGATCTCCGATTCGCGTATCATCCGACGCGAACGGTTTCTCGTAGATGTGACACCGCGTCGCGCTACGGTACGCCTCTCATTGATGCTTCGATAACTTTTCTATAGGTATATTAGGGGATACTATGTTTTTAACGCGATGCGCCAAATCCGCGAGTTGGCGTGCGAACCACGCAATGCAATCCTTATCGCGATGGAACTGATATGACGATAACGCATCGTCGTATGAACAGTGCACGTAGTATCCGATACTGAATACTTCGTGCTGCTGGTACGCGTATGACGATGACGATGACGATGACGATGACGATGACGATGCGTCTTCCGTCTTCTGCAGCACACACTCTAAATCGGCGTACACCACGAAGGGAACGCGCTCCTTTCTGCAGTGGTTACTAAACTCCAACCATTTGTTGTCCTCGCTCGGTAATCGAATGGCGCAATCGTTCATCTTTCCACAGTCTTCGCTATGGATCTCCAACTTTGCGCTCGAGCTGAAGTAATGAAGGCACCTGCAAATAAAAAAAATTGTTTTTTTTCCACTATTTCTTTTTTAATGTTTTTTTTTTATCAACTTTTCTTATCACGTTTACCGGTCGCAGAAAAATTTCTTGTTCTTGTTCCCAGTAATTTGTGATCTCACTAGGCGAGACAAATTCTTGACGCAAAGTGACCTAGGCTGTCGTCGTGTGGATCTTGTAGGTACAACAAGTTGACGCGCTTGTCCTTCTAGTCGCCGGTGAGCCGCAGAGGAAGTATCTCTTTGTTCTCGATGCCGTATACATTGATCGATACCAAGTTCAAACGTTCGAATTTCGTAATGTCTTTTAAAGTCATTGGAAACTCGATACTCGCGAGATTCAACAGATGTGTAATGCGGATACGATGATTCACGATCCACATTTCTTTCTGCTGGGTATAAAGCAGCGATCATCGACCACGCGAAGCACGCATTGTCCGTCGAACGCACACTGATCACCGCTTTCTTAAGCATAATTTCTCGCGGCACGTCTATGTGACATCCCGCGCGCATGAGATTCAGTTTGTTCACGTTAACAGTCAAGTTGTGGATTCGCGACAGCCACCCGCTGTTGCGTTCTTGGAACTCTTCGAGCGACGCCAACGTGGGCTCGATGACGCGTGACACGTACCACTCGCGCAAATCGGTGCATCGATATAGTTCACTGTTCTTAGTGTTTATACTTTTATTAGCACGTTTGTCGTTCATCGCAAACTCACCATTGAACGCGGTGTTCACCTTCACACTACCGTGTCTCTCTACAGCGTCTCGCACTCGCTCGAGCACTACATCGCCAGCGTCTTCTAAAAACCGTCGCTGTTCGATGTAATCCGCGTTGATCCGCACCGGTCAGAACACGACTCTCGAACGCGGCGTCGATCTCTCGCCAGACGAGAGATCTATTGTCCTCACTCGCGTTCTCACCACCAACATGCACGAAACGTCGCTCTAATTGAGTCTTTGCACCTGCGAGTCGCGCGATCCTCGCCACCAAGCATTGTCTGTGTCCGACGGCGAGCCGCGGACGCTTGGCACGACACAGTTCTTCCAGCCGCTCGATGCACCGTTGCAGCCACGCGAGACAATCCGCCAGATTAGCAACCTAGCACTGCTCCAACAGTTCGTGTTCCACTAGATCGTGATTTTCCATGTCTTTTTTTCAGTCTTAGATCACATCACACTCTTCCACGGAGCACTTGCATGTGACTTGTATACACGCGTCGCAACATCGACTTATGTTTAGATTGAAATATTGATCTAGCAACTTGCTATTATGTGTAAGGGCGAAGTCGCACTTTTCACACTCATAGCATTGTTCATCGCACTTGTCAAGAAACAGCACAGGAATCTTATCGCGGTCGTGATACTCCGTCCATATATTGCCAATTATTAGCAGTTCGACGCACTTCTCACTACCCGCAGGAATCGTAATGCACATGCTGGGACACTCGCTCTTTTCCGCGATTTTCTTCACCCAGTAATGATCATCCTTTATTACATTGAAATTGTGAAAAATCCTAGCCCACCAATGTTTGGCTAACAATCTCTTTTCATTGTCATCATCATTCTTGTAACATTCTCGTAACCGCGAGTACACTTTCTGTCGCGCGAGTAAGGACCAATGATAAACGGGTTCTCAGATAATGACCCCCTGTCTCTCTCCGCGTATACCTAATTCTCGATCGCGTAGAAACTGCACCGGTAATATTCGGGTAACTTCGTCTCCTCTGCGGATTACTGAGAACGTACTCCACATCGTATGCGACAAAGTCATATTCATATTAATATTCTTGAGGCTTTCACGGGTGTTACCTATGTGACAATCTTGCGTTTCGCGGGTTTTCTCCGTGTTCAGATCCATTC